TTTCTTACGCGACCGGAGTTTTAACTGTGGGGGTTGAGGGGCATATTTGAAAACTTGGGATCTCCGAGTGTGTAGAACAACTAAATCTGAACTTGGGGAAAACCACAGTTTTTGTCGGTGGTATGTTGGCGCTTCTCAAGAATCTACATAATGTGAAGATATGATGAATTCGCTCTCTAGCTGGGTGAAACCTTGCCCGCTGCTCTCAGATTTCCGTCTCACGTACTGGAGTTGGGCGTCGCAGTGCTACTAAATGCAGTCGCGTTATGACGCGTTGAGCTGCTTCTTCCGTGATTGGAACATTTGCATGCCTTTTTCGACTAGATATGTGCTGCTCGATTGGCCCAAGTTGTCGAATCTAGTTAGGGTAGAACACAAAGATACACTATCGTTTTTATGTAGATCTGGTGGAAACTCATCCGGTACGGCAACCGGATGACTGTTCAGGGAAGAAACACATCAGTGCTTCACCAATTAAAGGAGGATCTAAACACACACGAAATCTCAAAATGAACAGCTCGAATAAAAGACAGATATAGAGGCAGAGAATCAACCGGACTGTTGTATAAAATATTCTATCCAGCGGTCTAGATACTACATTTTATTGTGTACTGGATTTTCTTTATTACACTACATCAGCTCACTCGCAGGTATCCTCGGTTTAGTTTTCCGAATTAGCTGGAGCGTCTTCTATGCATTTCCCGTTTTACCAACTTGTTCCATTTCTTGAGCTGGTTCCACCACGTCTCTCCATCCACGCACAAACTGCGTAGGAGTTGACGCCTAACAAACTTGGCAGAAGGTGACGAAGACAGTCCAGTTGTTAGTATGTTCACGTTTGGAAACCACATGCCTAGTTTCAAGCATCACGTACAGTGACTATTACTCCCCCAGTTCAGATTACTACCTTCGTAAATGGCTGTTTTTAGAACACAATAGGCTTCCATATTCGCCCAATATGTGGCCTCAAGAATCTTCCAACTGTCGAGCGCGAGATTTGCTCCTTAGGCTTTTTCCGGAAATTCGCCTATAATCTATATCGGACAAAAGCTTGGTTCGAGTGAACACGCATTGTAGAACAATTAACAATGAAGGTTTGAGGCTCACCACGGGTTGCCAAAGGCCACATGCTCGATTTGGCTTCACGACCGTTCAGCAGGTGGCATGACGGTGTCCGCTGTGCCTGTACTGCTGAATAACAACTTGTGGTTACCACACAGTCGTAAAAGACGTTCATCGTTATCATTGCGCCTTGGGTCTGTATCAAAGTTATGACCAAATCACACGTCGCTTCAAAAGAGCTCCACTACCTGCGCATTGAAATCTGCTGTTAGGGCTATATCGGAACTTTTCCTGGTGAATAAAACAAGGGCTACATCCCTATAGAAAGGGTCTTTCAAAGGATCATAGCTACGGTTAGCTGGTGTATAGTCTGAAACAATCATCATGGACAGGTGCATGCCTCTACAGAAGTAAACGGACGAGCAGCACAGAAGCGACTGTTTAGAAGTATTCAATCAAGTAAGGAACCATCAACTCGAAAGCCGAAACGTCTGCGTACACCGGCGCCGTGAGTAAGGTGATCGGATTTCTGGCACCACGTGACAGCCGATGAGGCATTGATATACGTTTGCTTATGCAATTCATGGTTGTACATGGGCCGAGATACTTCCAGGCATTCGACCGAAAACAGGAGGATCATTAGGTCCCTCAACTGAAGCATATTGCTAAAAAGCCTGACCGCAGGGCAGCGGTTGTTGGCGTTAAGTGATCACAGTAGTCCAACTTTTGGGAAACAGGTTGCCACCATTTCTCCGACCTGGGAATCAGGAGGCTGTGTTTATCGGAGACTCCGTTGATACCACACGATCATCCTATGTTATAGCCCATCGGATCGCTGTGGTGCGTAAACCGTCGCAGCACAATAAAGTTCAGTCTCTTCGTGACCTTTACTGTGCCCGAATGAAACGTTCTCGCAGCCTTGGGTCTGTTGGTCTACATGAAAAGTTGTTTCAGCGCCAGTAGTCTGAGGGTTGAAATTTCCGGTCAAACCATCAGGATGTGCACAACTTTCACGGATTTCTGTAACCCGTGGTGACGACAACATTTCAGGACCTCACCAAAGGGCTGGGTATACAACACCTCAGTACGCACAATTCTACTACAAGGATGTGAAGCCTGGTTGTCTGCGTGGAAGAGGACCAGAGACTACCGTTTTCTATCACCGGGTTCCTACGAATCATCGTCCTTATCTGGTGGGAACAGAGCATTAGCACCGGTGAGATTTGCCGCCACTTAATTTTGCAATATAACCACGTCCGTAATTTTCTGCTGCATTTTTCAACTGACCGCAGGTGGAATGCAAATTTCAGTGCTTCCTTTCAAGTGGCCTAACCAATGGGAACATGTTCTGTATCACACAGGATTTGACTCTCATAATTCGCTCATCGAAGGTATTCGATTCGATTGTCCACATATGTTGATAGGTGATCTCGGTTTAATCACGCTACTGACCTCTTCTAAGTAGTGAGGATTCCTTGGGGTTTCACCATAGATTTCGCTGTTAAATGTTTTCAATCCGGTCGAGAGCCGGAAAGCTGTATTCTTCCACGTGAAATAGTCGGAGTGCCACGTGGATTTCAGACATTTCCTTTTAGTCTGTTGGCAATGAAACACGTACTAGTTTTTCCAGATGACAAGATTCCTTGGTCATGGGTGGCTCGGAAGTGGGGACTTCGTGCACTTGTGTAATGTGTCATATGCCACTTCTACTAGTGAGACATTTTTTCAAGAACGCGACAGTGACTGTGTATTGAGGCTTAAATCTGTTGCAATGGCTCCAGTGGTGGCGCAACTAGGTCACTTTTTCCCACCACGTAACCACACCATCATGAGGTCCGCGTGTTAGAATCGATATCTGCTAACGTGACTGAGTTTAGGCCTATGTGATCTATTGGTGATCACTATCGTACCGTCTTAATCCGTACTGGGATGTGAGGTGAACTAGAGGACGGTATAAATGACTCTAATAGAGTAGCCTATAGAGTATTCATGTCGCCCATATGTGCTGTTTGGTTAATCCTGTTGGAATTGAATGACGCACCGCGCTCGGCCAACAGCACAGATTAATTCAAAAATGATGCCATCCCGTTCAACACCAGCTACGTCAACTCGCTCCCTGGTCTTTGATCCAAAACGTTTATGTTCAGATACATTGGATGATATGACACAAAACTGACCTTAACATGGCGTTTTCTGTTCTTTCTAGTACTCATTTTCTACCCGTTCTAAACACACATGGTTTTTGCTCGTTTTTTTTCAAGTGAGCATTGGCATGTGTTGGTATGCTCACTGACATTATATATA